AGAAGAAGAAGAAGAAGAAGAAGAAGAAGAAGAAGAAGAAGAAGAAGAAGAAGAAGAAGAAGAAGAAGAAGAAGAAGAAGAAGAATAAAAGAGATGGCCAACGAAGAAGACGGTATATTTGCCGTGCTGCAGGAAAGCTGTCATGTGTTAAACCTCGTCTCAGCCTCGGTCATTTTAAGAAGAGGTTTACAAAGAAACCAAGGTCTGAAGCTACGAGTTAACCTCTACAATTATAATATTGTATTGTGATAAAGCTGGTGATTTACATACTGTACCTAGCTCAGGCAGGTTTGGGATGTAAGCCAAACTTCCTAAAAGTCTAAGAAAGTGAACCAAAGGCAGACATTTGTGTGCAACCAAGGGGAAGTAGGAAACAATCCTCCAAGTGGAACAAATGAAATTATTCAAGAGGCAGCAGCCATAGGCTGAAGGCTACCTCTAAAGAACACAAAGGATTCAATGTTTTKTGTCTTTGAAAAATGTTATAGCTCATTGAAAGACAGACAGAAATAGAGAGCAGTTACTACCATCAAGATGCTGCAGGTGCTTATCAGACCAATATGGCTGACATGTTCTCTCATCCACTTCTATCCTCTTTGCTGCTTTTATTCTCGGGACATCCTCATCCATATAGGGGTTCTTTTATCCATTTATAAAGCTTAGCAGTCGTGTCACATCTCCCACCCTCTCAGCATGTTTCCTCTCCTAAAGTGCAGCAGCTCTCCCTCATCGACAACTCCATCAGTGTTGGAGGAGCAGGAGCAGAGGGCTTCTGTGGAGCCGTTTGAGCTTCATTTTGTTCACAAGAGAATGATAGAAAATTCTTATGTTTTTTATTGTTGTTTTTTTTTTTGTCTTGATTGTTTTTTTCTTAAATCTGTACATGTAAGATTTAAAAAAATCCCAAATCAAACATCTATAGTGTAAAATAATAGGTGCTCCTAAATGGCATTAATTTGCAAAAGAATTAGCATAACTCTTCTAAAACATTAGTTTTCAGGGGAATAATTTGATGAATTTCACTGACTGCCCTTTCTTCATGCTGTATTTGTGATCCSTTTCAATTCCTTTTCTTCAGTAAATCACTAATGTGCTAAAATGTGATTAGGAAATTACCACTCTGCCACTTTTTAATCCATCCTTAAAAATTGGTGATACAGACGAAGGAGCAGCAATAAGAAAATTACACTCTCACATTCACAAAGGGACTATTAGCAAAAGAAAAGAAATAAAAAAATCGAGGAATGCGAGTGCTGCTTCAAGGCCACTAAGAGGTTGATGAGAACGTCCACAGCTAATTAGTGAGCCCAGCAGAAACATGGGTTTGGGTGCACGGGATGGGTGCCAGTGCAAGAGGAGGTATGGGGGGGGTGCACCTGTGGTTTGCCACCTGCTCTGGTGGAGCAGAGCATATGGGAGGATTTTAACAATGGACAGGAGAGGAGGATGAAGTGTGCAGATGAAATGAAAGAGGAGTGGAGAAATAAATGGCTGAGAGTTGTGAGGGGGAAAAACAGAAAAAAGGAAAAGTGATTGATGATTGAACTATAGGTCGTACTGGGAGAGGGGGAAAAAAAGGCAATTTCCTACAAGTCTGGAGGACAGCATGCTTACAAAACTAATTCCTTTCACCAGCAGGCTTCAGTCTTGAAAAGGGTTTAAAATGAAAATGCCACAGTGAATGCACAACTGAGAGAAAGTTTTCTTTAACGAAAATATAGATTATGAAAACATTGGTTTCAGGCAACTTATATAATCTTATTGGAAGCATTTGATCTTTTGCTCTTCTGTAGATTGTATATTATATTCACATCAAACTGAGGCTGAAGTCTAATTTAGTCAAAATAAGCACATCTTCAGACTCCTGCTTACATTTTTACATAAGAGGTTGCAGAGATAAGCCTTGGTTTCTCTTCCTAAAGAGAAAAACCCATTGATATTTGGTCTGATCATTAATTTTAGGTTATTCTAATGAGGAATTTTAATGTAATTTTAAAGAGGAAACCTAAAAAAATTGAATATTAASATTTACCAGCTGAAAAGAAAAAATGCTTTCCTAACTCACAAGAAAAATGACAAAAATATAAGATCTTACTGTGCTCAAAAAGGGCTTCAAAAATTATTTAAGATTACATTTCAGATATTTAATTTTAACGACTCATTTATTCATTATATTTTGATAAAATGCAACATTTTAATCAATGCACTAAAGTTACCTAAAACCTGTGTTTGCTGAGAAAACTAATATTTAAACAAAGTAATCCACTCCTCTGAGCGACTGGTTTCCTTTTTTCATTTGGCTTTAGATCCAATTTGTCCACACTGATGCTTGGTGTTTGGCTTTGGAACAAAATCCAAGACTTTAAAAGAAATAGACGCTCATCAAAATACAGGAGGCTGTTGGAAGTTAAACGCCTCGAGATAAATAGTGAATGCAAATAAATCAAAGCTTTAAAAGGCCTGTTGCCCATGTTTAATCAGTGAAGTGGAGGTTATACACTATGAAAGAGTACTATTCAGCAAATATTTAAACACCTACAGTAAGTGCAAACATTTTTGAGACAACTTTTCCAATAAGCTTCTTTAATATCAAATCAATAAATTATTTAGATTATGCAAACAAGTTGATTTGAATTGCCTTTTTTCAGGGTAAAATTATGTCTTTTTGATCATGACTCTTCTTTAAAACCTTGTACCAGCAGGCCCAAACCATAGACCTCATTTCCACACTGATTTTTCTCTCTCTCTCTCTCTCTCTCTCTCTCTCTCTCTCTCTCTCT